TAGATAAATTGGATCTGCTTAACTGGAGTAAGGTGGGTGGGCTTGAATCGGGGTTTGAAGACGTTGTGAGTCTTCAAAGTCTTAAGTCTTTTTCCTCTCTCCATATCCAGCCTTACTCTCTAGAAGTAACTGCTATTAACTAATGGTTTCTTGAGTATTCTTTCTAGGTTGTTAAATATTGACTTCTATTTATTCTTTTTTTAATAAAAAATTTATTATATAGAAATACATTTTAAAAAGTCAATTTCACAAAGCTTGTTTTGAAAAACAGTGGTCCCCTGGGGCTATTCTCCTGCCCTGCCCCACCACCACCACCATCTGCTGCTCCTCAGAGGCAGCCGATTTCAACTCGTAGCTGAGTCTCTTGGTTTGTACCTCCATATTGGTAGATAACGGATATATGTTGCCACTTCCTGGGTTTTTCATTTTAGACATTATCTATTGGCTTCCCACCTCAGAAGATAAGGATTTATTCAGTTTTTAAATCACTTTCTCACCACTTTTTCATTCTTATATAGTTTCCATAATTTTGGTTAGGTCACAGGTTATTTTAATTATGTAAGCATCACACTGCGATAACTTCCTTTCAGCATAGCATTTTGTTTTCCCTGGAATTCGTGATTGTCTTGTTTTCACATTTGCTTAGTCTCCTATGCATTTATTCCTGATTCTCTCCCGAATTCTCCTGCCTGTGTAAATCTCTCATCATGTCCAAACACACCAGAAATTCTGCCAATTTCACTTTCTTGTAGAAGTTCATCCTTGGAGCCTTCTGACCTCCTCCACCCTGGACTGGTTGCATTCCCGGCCCACTGCACAGCTATTGTTCTGAGGTCTCCTATTTTCACCTCTGATGTTGGAACCTCTGTTGTCTTCTCTTTTGGTTTATTCCCTCATTTTAGTAGAGGACATACTTCTGTAGCTTCTGGAGAAAAGAGCTTGAGAGGTAAGTATTTTGAGACTAATGTCTGAAAATATCTACCTTCCCACTTGATTGATAAAAGTTTGGGTGTAGAATTCTAGAGAAGTCTGTCTTTCTGATTTTTGGTCCTTTGTACAAAACCTCTTTTTTTTCTGTCTAGAGCTGAGCTGTCCAATAGGGTAGCCACTAGCCACATGTGACTATTTAAATGTAAATTAATTTAAATTAAATAAAATTCAAATTTAGTTCCTGTTACACTGTCCAAGTGCTTAATAGCTGTTAGATAACCTGGTCTAGAGGCTTGGAGGGTCTCTTTGTCCTGTGTTCTGAAACAGTGTGCCTTGGGGGTAGATCTTCCATCCATTGTGCTGGATAGTCGGCGGGCCCTGTTAGTTTTCTCTTGCTGCTGTAACAAATTACCACAAACTTAGCAGCTTGTGAGAGCACAAATTCATTATCTTCCTGTTCTGTAGGCCAGAAGTCTGACACGGGTCTCACCAGGCTAATGAAGATGGTGGCCAGTTGCTGTGTTCCTTACTGGAAGCTCTAGGGGAGGATCTGTTTCTGGGGACAGTCCAATTGTTGGCAGAATTCAGTTTCCTGCATCTGTAGACTGAGGTACCCATTTCCTTGCTGACTGTCAGCTGAGGGCTGTGCCCAGCCCTGGAGGCTGGTGGCCTCCTTCCTCTGTCTTCCAAGCCAGCAATGGGAGATCCAGTCCCTCTCACATTTTGAATCTCTCCGCCTCCTCTTCCATCCCTTCTCTCTAGCCCTCTCTTTCTGACTTCAGCTGGGAAAGGTTCTTGGTTATGGGCTTGTGATTATCGTAGGCCCACCTGGATGATCCAGGCTGCTCTCCCCGTCTCAACATCCATAACCTTAATCACACCTGCAAAGGAGCTTTTGCCGTGTACAGCATGACATGTTCTCAGGCCCCAGGGATTGGGGCATGGACATCTTTGGGGAGCCATTATTCTGCGTACCACATCCATCAATCAGGACAGTCTTATCTTTTGGTTTGAGAAAATTTCCTTGCATTATTTCTTTGCTTTTGTCTCTTCTGATTTCTCTCTTC